GTGAGTTGTTTTTGCGAGAGAAACCGCAGGGGGAATAGAGTAAGGGCGAAAGGGGAGGAAGGAAGGAGGGAAGGAGGGAAGGAAGGAAAGAGGGAACTAGGAAAGAGGGAAGGAGGGAGGGAAGGAAGGAGGAAAGAAGGGGATGTCTATGCACTGGCTAGGAAATTACCGTGTGAAAAAAACATTACCGATCTTTTTTTCTATTTTTTTGAGTATTTATGTGTCTGGGAATCGGGTGGGATGTAGTTGCCGAATATCCTCTTGATAAATGTGATGTAAGGTATTCCTATACTTTTCTGGTTCACATACACAAACTTACGCTCTTCCTCTCTCTCTCTCTCTCTCTCTCTCTCTCTCTCTCTCTCTCTCTCTTCTTTCTCTCTTTCTTTCTTTTCTTTCTTTCTTTCTTTCTTTCTTTCTTTCTCTTCTTCTCTTCTTCTCTCTCTCTCTCTCTCTCTCCTCCAACAAACCACACACAGACATAAACAGTCGCATCCAAACCGAACAAACAGCACACAAAACAACCAAACACACACACACACACACACATGCACAGCGCTAGAGATATATGAGAATTCTGCAGAAAGTCTGTTACCTGGTTTGAGGCAAGAGGAACATCAAAAACCTCTGTTACATCAAAAATAAATGGAAGCCAAAAGTGCTGTGTGTTTCTGGCCCTGAACATGGAAGACAGCCGTTCACTCTTGCAAGGACAGGTAGTACATGATGCCATAAAATATAGCGTTGCATATTCTACGAATGCACGGCCACATGCGCAGTTGCACACGTAGGCACACACTCCATACGTGTATAAATGCATACATATATAAGCTTCGTGTATTTCTGTTTGTTTATTTGTGTATACGTGTGTGTTTGTGCTGTGTGTCGTGCGTGTGTGTGTGCGGTGGTGTATGTGTCGTGCGTGTGTGCGTGTGTGTATGTGTATGTGTGTAGTATGTGTATGTGCGTGTGTGTGTGTGTGTATTCATGAAAGATCGTTTTCTATTTGTTAAAAAATTCGTTTCATAAAAAATAACAAAATACATATACATTTAGACACACACACACACACAGACATCTAGATCCGAACAAGAAAAAAATACTAATATAATTTGTTCTATTATCTTCCCTCTCCCACCAAAAAAGGTGGGATGGCGAGCGAAAAAAGAGAAAGAAAGACGACCTATCACGCCCGCCCACCCCACCGCCCCAAAAAAAAGCTCCACCCAAGACAATAACAGTTTCATGAAGGGGTAATTTGCTGCCGGCGTCGCTGGTTAATGGAGCCATTTACTTAATGCTAGAAAAAAAGGTTACTTTAGGGGTTGGGGGCAGGGGGGGACGGGTGAATGGGGGAGGGAATGAAAATGCGCGAATCTAACGCTTCTTCCATTTCTATTGCCGTGTGTACTGGGGGAAAAGGGAGTAGAAAGGAGATTGAGGAGTGGAAAGGGGGGAGGGGGAGTGAGAGTTGGAGGGGAGGAAAAGAGGTTGGGGGGAGTGACAGGGGTGGAGGGGGTAGAGAAAGGGTAAAGGTAGTAGGGGAGAAATGGAAGGGTGGAGTGGGGAGTAGAAAGGGATGTTGAGGGAGTGAAAGGAGTAGAAGGGGTAGCGAATGGGTAAGAGGGAGAGTGGAAAGGGTGAATGAGTGAGCGAGAGGGAAGGATATCAAGCGAATGAGATGGAAAGAGGTGGAAGGGGCAGAGAAGGGGGTGGAGGGGGGTTTGGGTGGAGGAGGGGGGGGAGTTATGGTGGAGGGAGGGGGAGTTATGGGTTGGAGCAGGGGGAAGTTATGGGTGGAGGAGGGGGATTATGGGATAGTGGGGGAGGAGTTATGGGTGGAGGAGGGGGGAGTTATGTGGTGGAGTTATGTTATGGGGTGGAGGAGGGGGTTATGGGGTGAGAGAGGGGAGTTATGGGGTGGAGGAGGGGGGTTATGGGGTGGAGGAGGGGGGGTTATGGGGTGGAGGAGGGGGAGTTATGGGGTGGAGGAGGGGGGAGTATGGGTGGAGGAGGGGGAGTATGGAGGAGGGGGGGGAGTTATGGGGGGGAGGGAGGGGGAAGTTATGGGGAGGAGGGGGGAGTTATGGGTGGAGCAGGGGGGAAGTTATGGGGTGGAGGAGGGGGGGAGTTATGGGGTGGAGGAGGGGGGGAGTATGGGTGAGGAGGGGAGGGGGTTAGGGGTGGAGGAGGGGAGGCGTTATGGGGTGGAGTTATGGGGTGGAGGAGTGGGGGTTTATGGGGTGGAGGGAGGGGGGGTTATGGAGTAGAGGAGGAGAGGGGGACTTATGAGGTGGAGGTGATGGCGTTAGAGGGTGGAGGAGGGGAGGGAGTTACGGGTGGAGAGGGATGGGGGGAGTTATGGGATAGAGGGGGTGGAGCTATGGGGTGAAACGGTTGTTAAACTAATAGCGACTGAATGAGAATTGATAGCTTACTGTCCGTGGATATACATCCTGTTCCTCTTCCTCTTTTTTGACAGGATCGCAATGAATATTTGTTACACCGGATGAAATGCGAGACTTTAGATTGCTATGACACTCCCATCGCACAAAATATACAAATACGTGCTATTAGAATATTACATATATTTTACAGATAATACGTAACAAGAACAAAAATAATATAAATAATAACAATATTGACACAATTACAATAATAATAACAATTTGACAACAATTAAATATAATAACAAAATAAAATGTCAATAATAACAAATGCTAATAATTATAATATCAGTAATGTTAATGATCATTATACCGATAAAATCGACAATAATAAAAACAAAATGTATAAACGAATAAAAAGCGAGAGAACAAAAAAAATCATATATTTTTTTTACCCTGACTTACATGACATGACTTGCATGAAATCACGGAATTAACAATAATTACATATACTTCAGCCAAAACTAAAGTATTATCAAAATTTCCGATTACAGTAATGCTATCACTCATGCAAATATCAAATGCGATGATAATGAGGGTTATATTATCGATATTGTAAATTTGATTATGAATATAAAGTTTATTCTCTTCATCTGTTAATGCTGCTAATAATGATGATGATAAAAATAGTAATGCTAATGTTGAATTTAATAAAGATGGTGATCTATCAATTTAATCAATATCATTGTTATCATTACATCACTACCATTACCATTATTTACAAAAAAAAAAAAAAAAATCTGTCCCTCCCCAAAAACACACACACACACACACACACACACACACACACACACACACACACACACACACACACACACACACACACACACACACACATACACACACACACACACACAAAAAAAAAAAAAAAAAAAAAAAAAAAAAAAAAAACAGATCTGCAAATCGAAAAGAGGTTCGCAGAGAACGCCACGGGTGTCTATACCCTACCCTTCCCCTCCACCCCCCACCCCCACTACAAACTCACAGAACGCATACCGTCAAATATGGTATTGGTACTCCATTTTTCGACATCAAACGTACCAGGAGAACCAATATGCCTGCACGCTCGAGGCCGGCTTCATACCCTGTGGATAAAGCTCTGCCAATTGCAAGGGAATGTGTTAGTTGCGAGTCCGCCGATACATCTACGTACATACTCGATGGCTGTTTGGGCAAGAGGTACACATGGGGTACTCTCGACGATGCTATGTATGGATAGATGTGTGTGTATCTTTGCTTACGTTTACATATCTGTGAACGTTTTTTTTCTTTTACTTTTTTAACTCTAATAGACAAGGGAGAGCTGATGTAAGTACATAGACAAAGATACCAGGAAGATAGATAGATACACACACACATTCACAAATCCACCCATCCACTCCCCCCCCTCCTCCCCCTCTCCCTCTACTTCTCCCCTCCCTCCCTCCTCCACCCCTCTCCTTCTCTCCCTCCCTCCACCCCCTCTCCTCTCCTCCCTCCCCCCCTCCCCCTCCTCCTCTCTCTCCCTCCCTCCCCCCCCTCTCCCCCAAACATACACAATGGACACCGCCGTTGTTTGAGCTTTTGTTTACCATTTTTACCACCGTAGTTTTACCCTCGTCGGCTGCAAGAGCACGGCGTCGCAGCCCTTCCGCTCGGCAACGACTCTTGGCTAATGGAAGGCGGAAAACAAGAGAAAGAAATAGAGGAAAGCGAAAGTCGTTAATGAACCCCCACCCCCCCTTTTTTGCGATGACGTTTCACGAAAGGTCGTTTGCTATTTGTTCATTAGGCTGGGGAGACGAGCGGGATTTCTGTGCTATGATTTGCATATTCCGTCTATGATCGTTTTATCTAATTAATGTAATTATTGCTATTCCTATTCCATTATATTATCATCATTATCACTGTAATTATTATCATTATCTTTGTGATTTTTATTATCTTAATCGCGTTCTAATTACTGTTATCATTATCATTACTTTCATTATCATTAGCATTATTTTATTTATAATCATGGAGGTGATTATTAAGATTATCAATATCAATATTACGGCCTTTGTTGTCACAGTATAATTATTATAACTACTATTGATATATTTGAGATTCTTATTAGCATCAATCTAGTCGTTATCAGTGATATCATCATTATCTAAATTATAAAATTAAATGAGACCAAATTACTCGTATCACAATATTTACTATCGTAAGGATATCAGTGATGTAACAACTGTAACAATAATGATTATGATTATAATCATAAAAAAATCACTATTTCCGATAGTTTAGTCATGTTCTTATCACTGTTATTATCACTAAACCTATCATTAATCATCATACAAGTAAAACATAACAACAATCTTAACAACTACAGTAATAATCTGACAACACAGTAATAATCTGACAACACATCATAATGCAAAATAAGAACTGTTGCAAAGGAATGTAAATACTCGTAATTAACAAAGCATGCATGCATAGTAAATTTAATACAGGCAGGAGAACTGTTCATTTTGAGTCTCTTTGTTGCCTGCTTGCCTTCTACATGCACCTGTTCCTGTTCTTGTGTGTTTT